GTTGGCTGAGTCAAGTAGAGTGTCAACAACAATCTGTCATCTAACAATCGAGCTTTTTGTGATTGTTGAAAAGCACAGATTAAGTTCACTCAGAAAAAAAGAATCTATTAAAAGTTAGGTAGGAAGGTGGAAGAATATTTTATATAGCATTTTAATTAACTGCAATTGGCTTGTTAAATCTTGGGGTCCCTGAAATGCTTTGAGAACGCTATAGAAAAATGGTTACACCTCCTTCAAAGCTGATTTTATCAAAAAACCTTAGCCTTTTTGTGTTAATATGATGCCAATAAAACCTTCTCCAGCTATGTTTCTCTACTAGTGTTACTAGAGAAGTATTACTATGTTAGCAAAGGCAAAAATTTTCAGTATTCTGAAACCACATTTGTGGAAATGGGTATCAATGCACACATTTTGTGCGCTGGTAACTTACAAGCAATACAAAAACTGGAAACTCTTTATTGCAAAGCCATAAAAGACCCCAGAGTATAGAGCCAATTATAGATAAACTTATTATTCCTCAGTGTTTATTTTTTCCCCGTTTGTTCATTAAAATTCAATACTGGAGTTATATATAAAATAGGATACCATATTGCCAAACGTATTTTTTTCTTTTAATTATCTATGCCATGAAAACAAACCACTTTTTAAGGTGCTTTTTGCCTCTGTAGCTAGAACTCAAACCAAGGGTAGCTAAGCAGACTGCTTTTCTTCCTTAAGGGACTCGGCAGGATGGGGAAATGCAGGAGACAAAGAGTCAGTGTGGCAAAAGCACATGGTGATTGTTGAGTCAGGATTTTGACCGAGTAGGAAACTAACATTCCAGGTCATAGGGCCTTTGGTCTAAGTTATTTGAACATTAAGACGTCATTTCATTCATTTGCTGGCAAAGACCTAAATTTTTCATTATTTCTTTACAGCTTGCTGTTTTTGATAGTCAACGTATAATTGTATTTATTAACCATCTTAACAGTATTTATATCTATAATTATTAGACATTTTTCTACCATGATTAGGTAACTGGGCTGTTTAAAAAAGAAACACCTCCAGAATAGCTAAATTTTTAAAGTCACTACCTACATCTGCCAAAACAGATTAGTAGCAAATTTCCAGAACAGAACAAATTGTCTTGATCTCCTTACCTAACACTTAGTTTTATGTCAAATCTAACTGCTTTCAGGGAACAAGACTTCTTGATGGAACCTTATATTTTGACATAAAAATTTTGGGGGCTGCAAGTGTAAAGTAATTTTATCTTTATTTTGCAGGCTGAATATTGCTGTATTATTAGTTTTATGGTATTCACACTATAAAAACACCATATATTCATGATAAACTTGATCTGGTCTTAACTCACTATAACCCTGTTGAACTTACTGGCTCAGGAACTTGAATATTCTGTTTGAGAAATTATATATATGTAAATAAGCACTACCTTGTAAAATAATATTTACACCTCAGGTGCCACTTCCTTCATAACCATATCCATTGTAATTCTTGACTTTTTGTAAAAATTTCAGATGCATTAGGTATTAATTCTTATGGTAGTGATAAACATTGGCTAAGCAGAATTAAAACTTTAATCAGAGTACTTAAGCGTGGGTATTCTTATAAGGAAAATTTCTTTTTAGCATATTCCTGAAAATTACTTTGATTCAGTCCTAAAAGGATTTTTCATTTTAAAATGTCTATGTCTCCTTTATAGTATAATAAATTTTGCTTTCTCTTTTTGTAATTTAATATTTCTTTTCTCACTCAGGATCATATCCTGCTTCCAGTTACTATTTTTCTGTGTTAGGGTGACAGACAATGTCTAGTTGACTATGCAGTAATCACAGGACAAAAGCGAGAAGTGTCTTGTGGCGTTATACGATGGTGGCTAAGGGTTTGGGCTTTAAGCCAGACTGCTGAGCTCCATGACCTTCTCGTTGTGTGACCTTGGGCAAAGTACTTCACCGCTCCGTGCCTCAATCTCCTCATCTGTAAAATGAGTTGCCTGGAGCATTTAATGAGTTAATAACATATAAAATGTTTAGAACTGTGCCTGGTATATAGGAAGTACTCAATAAGTATCTATCACAGAATAATTGACCTCTTCAGTCATATATCTAGTTTATTAAGAATTCTGGATCGTGGTACTTTAATCTATTTTCTGAATAACAAAATCAATAGCAAGAATGATATTGTTTATGGAGTACAAATACATTTGCATCTTTGCTATAAAAATTTAGCAATGCTAATAACGGTTATTGAGTTTTCTGGGATATTTATTAGTAACTTTAGGATACAGGTAACAGATGAGCCCGAGGCCCTTGGTACAGCCCCATCATGGAAGCATATGGAATCTAAATGTCACTGTCATCCCACATGATTGCTTCCCCAGTGAAAAGACTTTGAAATATTAGTTATGGTTTTTTCGACTGAATATATCTCCTAGTCTTTAACAATTCTCTTTCTTCCTGAACTCCACTTCCATTAAGATTTTTGTTTTAGATTGAAAATGAAAGGGAGTTAATTCGTTACAAAACGCTGATGTCAGAATAATTTGTTAAGCCCTTTTTACTGATCTATTATTTCCTTTAACGTTCTTTATACCACATAAAGAAATCATGGAAGAACTTTGGTATCTTATTTTATCCCCCAGTGCCAATGTATACTATTGCTGTTTAATAATTATTTGTTGAATGAATTAACCAGCATGACAGAAGGTCCATTCTTCAGCCAAATCATCTCTTTATTTGTTTACAGAGGACCCAGAGCCAGCTAGGCAGCATTAAGTGAGCACACTGGGTGGGTGGCAAAGGAAGGCTGTAGGGATTGTGCTAAACTCTGTCTGTAGGTGGGATTAAACAGAGTTTACGACCTCTGCTGTATGTAAGGAAAGGCTTCTGCCCGAAGGCAAATATGAATACCTACTTCATATGAATGATAGACATCCCTAAAATTATTCTAGACTATTTGTTTTTCAGGGGCATCGCGATTCCATAAAATAAATAAAGATAGGTACCTACACGTATTTACCCCCTATATATTGATGCATATTAAAAACACTTTACCTGGAAGAAAGTTTAGCAAAGGCCACTTGCCTGGTGTCTGTTCATTTGCTCTATCTCCGTCTATTGAGAATTGTTGGAACTTTAGGGGTGCTTGCAAAAACAACTCTGTTCTAAATTAACAGCAATCTGAGGAGCTACATAATTTCTGTTGGTGGAAACACAAATAACTTTTCTAATTGGAACAAAAGCAATATTTAACTCTTCCTACGAAAGCATTGGCCAGCATACAGCACGCATGCTTCACAGTCTTGCCGCTGGGGAGATCTTATGGCCCTGCCCTCCCTGCCTACTTGCTAGACTTCAGAAGAAACTGGGAAAAAGCAGCTGGAAAAGTCATAGTCCACTTTGAAGCTCTCATTGTTAGGATGGCAACCGATGGGCCTACACGTTAAACGTACGTGGACTTCAAGGCGTTAGACCAGTTTCACTGGACTTGCTCAGTCTTACCTCTTAGGCTCTCTGTGAGTTCAGGTATACTTACACGATAGTGCCCTACTTCTTGATCATCTCCCCTGTTCTGAAGGCTTGGCATAAACCGCATTCTGTGGTGAGAAAGTCAACTTGACAACCTTTTTCATTCTTCCTAACTTTTCCATTCTCCCTCTTCACATTTCACCTCTTCTTGGAAACTTAACAGCCTCAGGAACCACTCTTCTCCCTGAGCCTTCCCTTCCACTCCTTGCCTCATGCTTTGCTTGTGTACAGTTTACTCTCACCCTACGCACATTATTGAACATGGACACCTTCGCCTTTTCACTTTATGTTTGTGTGACAGTGTGGGCTTTTGCCGTTTGAGGGCAGGCTGGTAACTTTTTGACTCACAGCGTTGATAGATACTTAGTAAATGGCTGTCCATAGGGTATAAAATTCACAGGGATTGTGAAGCAATGAGAATGAACAAAGAGAGTTTGAATACTTTTGTAGATGATTTGCCCAACAGACAGATTCTTTTTACTGATATGCCTACCATCAACAAAATGGACTAGTCTCAGAATTGAGAAGACCTATGAATACCATGCTGCAGATCTGTTTGAAAAAGAATTATTGGGGGAGGAGAAAAGGACATTTGGTAGCAAATCAAGTAAACTTTGTTGTTTAAGGTGTTAGATTAGAAGAATTGTGCAAAAGAATTTGTTCATGTTCAGACTGATTTGTGTTCCTTCTTTTTAATTGTTTGCTGCTCAAAAATAAGTATCTGGCAAGTTTTTTCGACCTATCTTTATCTTTTTCTGGTTAATATCTATTATCAGTGCATTCCTGATTACATATCCCCATCATGTTCCTTTTATATGTGATTATCTAATATTATTGTTTACTTTTCTCAAAAGCTGCCCACTATTTATTATGTTATGACTGCAAGATTCTTCTGCACAAATGCTTTTGGGTCTTAAGCTTACATTTCAAAGCTGGTAGTGTTCTGTGTCCCCCTAAATGGAAAGGATTTGTAAGCTATTTATTGAATTCAAGCATTCTTAAGGAATTTATTTACATGACGCCTAATTCAACTGCTTTAGAAGCACTGTTTGTTATGCATTAGATTCAACAAAGAATGTGTAATCTTAAAGTATATTCTAATAAATTTCAATTTAGTTACAGATGTCGTTTAATATTTTTGAGTCAAACTCAGTATTATTGCACAAAAGCTTAGAAGTGAGTTTGGTGCCACCTGCCAATTTGCAAATAGCCATTAATTTTTAACTGCTACGAATAAATCGTAAGCCTTTTAAAATACGGTTTTCTTGCAATCACGTCACATTATCGAGTATCTTATTCTTAGCAAATGCTTTGTTTTTTTCCATCCTTTTCTATTTTCTTCTTAGTTTATTTCATTGATCCTTTATCTTATAGACGCAAATTGCCTTGTGTTGAAGGAGGAAGCTGCAGGATGTACTACCAGTTTTGTATGTGATGGACTTTAACCTGGGTTTCTGTCTCTCCCCCACACAGTCCCTTCAGTCTGAATATGTTCATTATTAAGGCCCCGCCACTCCAGTGAAAGCACTCCGCTCTTAGACACAAGGTCGTCATCTGCATGAGCAATGTAGAGAGAGAGCAGCTGATTGCCGGAGGAGTCTTTCTGCCTTCTTACGTTAAATTAAGGAGAGCGCTAACATAAGACCTTGGAGAGACTTGAAACCAGAAAACTCTGGCTAATGACTACTCTAAATGCACTGAAACTGGGTTTATGGAGCTGTCAACACTTTTTAAGACAGTTTTAATGTTGAATTTGGTATCTCAAAAGGTTATTTTTAATGTATTTCGGTAATACATTTGTTATGACATTTACATATACAGTGTTACATTATGTATGTATTGTGAACTTTAAGAGACTATTTTGATAAATTTATAAATATATAAAATTATGTAAAAACTAGACTATATTTTGACTTAGATTTTTCTTGCTGTTTGCTACCGAAAATTTGTATTTTGAATTTGTTTAGTATGGTTTTGTCTACAATGAATACATAATTCCTCTTTATGAAGAAAAAATAAGGGAGAGAGTTTTTAGAAAGTGATTTTTATGTTCCCACTGTGAACGTGACACATCAGTTCATTCTTTTGGGAAGTCAGTCTAATATGATGAGTTTATCCAAGCTGATCTCTGGTGAGAGGAGGATGATCGGTTGATATGGCTTCTTTAGACCATTTCCTTTCCCTTTGTTTTTGTTGCCGGGCCATTTCATTTTGCATCCTTGTGGGGCTTTAACACAATTTAACATCAGTTGGAGATCAGAATTCACTGAATGTTTCTCCTGAAAACACAGCTTTTCTCTATGTGAAATGATTCAACATTCCAAATGCCTTTATTTCTTTCCTCCTCTCACAAGAGCCCTGACCCCAGTTAGGACATTCTGCGTTTGGTACGAGGTTGTCGGCTCTAACCACACACGGTCCAGCACCCGTTTTAAATCAATGAAGAGAGAAAACTGAAAAAAAAAAAAAAAAGATGCTGCTAAGTAGTTCTCTGTATCAAAGGAGATATGTTTGAAACAGATGACAAACACCTAACACACAAGCTAGCGTATCAGAAGCCTGACATGAGAACCAAGGGACTCCTTGCAGGTACTTAACGGCCCATTTACTAAGTGTAATCTTGTGTTTCGGCCTCGGAAGCCCGGAGGCTTTGTTTCTCTGGGCAGTTGGGAAGCCTTTGATGCTGCTTGTTGATGCTGCCTTAGAACGGACTCCTCACACAGTTAAATGGATCCGTATCAAGTGCTCTGCTCGCCACCACTGAGTTCTTCATAAATCTATTTATTAGGAGGGGGTACCTTGAGGCTGTTACACATGCTTCAGCAAAACAGCGCGTTGGTGTTTTCTATTTTAAAAAAGGCATTTGAATTACTGGCTCAGGTTCATGACTTAAACTTCAGTAACTGCAGTACCAAATAATTGCACTAAAGCTGACAGAAAAAAATGAATTGTATGTTTTAGGAGTCAAAAATTAAAATAAGTGGAATTAAATTGTATGCCTTTTCTAAAGCCAAAAGAGTAAAATATTTTATTATGAGTTGTGGAAAAAAAAAAGATTGGTTAGTTGTATAGGAAGATGATAGTATTTTTAAAATTCATCAGTGAAAAGTAATTCAGACGATGTTCGAGAAGTGGGGAAAAGGGAACCATGTTGACAGTTTAAGTTCTGTGAACACTAATTTGTGTGCAGCTATTAAAATGATTGTAAAATTGACTACTATAAATTTTCCATAATTATGTGTGTATATTAGTCATGTGTATCTACATGTGTATGTCTTAAAATTATTTGTACACATGTAGATACTTAGACAAACCAAGAAGTGTATGTATATAATATAGAAAGTATATAGCAAAGTAATTCTACTCCAAAATAAAAATTGTTGACATGTATTTTGTTATGAATAGTTTACCTTCCAAAAGATATTTTGTTCTATTTTAAAGTGTAGAAGAATGCACTGCTAATTAATAATAAAAGTTTTATGCAATTTATGTTTTCCCTGACTTTTATAATTTGGATTTTGAGTTATCAATGTACTGAAGTCTCTTTGTAATTTTCTATTTGATCTGATCTGGTTGGTGCCTTTCAAGTGTCTCAAGCTCTCCATTCTGGATTTTTAGTTTATCTTTTATTGACTTTCCAGGTTGTGGCCATTTTCTGAAGTATATGACAATGAGCGCAAAGAAATCTTATCCTTTGCCTTTCACAAAAGTCAGATAATGTCGGGCTCTTGCTGTCTTTCTAATTTTCCTTTCTGTTAATAAAACACTGATTGTGATCAGAGTTTTGGGTCCTGCTTAGTCAGTTATGACTACTGGATGATATACTGGTCATCAGTGCCTTTTGAGAAAAATGGCCATTTTTCTTAAAGGAGAAATTATAAAAATAAATCAGATGGAACAAACCTCACCACTTGGATCTACGCCCTGAAGAGCCAGCTTGAGAAGAAGAAGCTGCACTATTTATTGAAGATATTTTATGCATTAAACTGGATCTCTCTGGGTTATGATGTTTCTGAGGTTTTGCCCTTCTCTTTTGTCTTTCAATTTTTTTTTTTTTCCAGAACACATAGGAAAGGATGTGAGTGGGAAGGTAGTTTCACTTCTTGAGTTGAAAATCTGCCAATTAGCAGTTCTCACAACACTGCATGAGACAGTTGGGATACGGAGGTTGTCATGGGACCACATCTCAGGGAAGAAGAGTTCTTATGAATTCATGAACCTGTGTAGAAGGGCAGAGAATCTTCTTCTTCAGATTTAGTTCTTATGAGAAAAAAATAGTAAAACGAATCAGTTAATTAGTTCCAACAAATTTCTCACCTAGCCATCATGGAGTTTACATGATTTTGTTGTCGATGTCAATTGATTTATAAACCTCCAGACACACCCGGACAGGCTACCCAATACCTATATTCAACTGCGGTGCAGCCAACAGCAGGAACACGAGTTTGCCAAAGATAAGCCACAGAAATGTATTTTCAAAATTGTTCGTACTTGTATGCTTTCCTTTGTGATATTTGTTAAACCATCAATATATTAAAAGTTTCTGCTTAAACTAGTTGTTGGCCTGTCAGCTGAAGGGAACTCTATGGTGGTTCATGTTCTAGACGAAGTCTGTGCTTTTTTCCCAAAGTGCCCCTTGAAGGCAGAGTTAACGGTGCCTGCAGAAGCCTGGCAGTCCTCTCTGCAACACACAGCAAAGCAAAAATTTGGTCACTGCCTGTCTCGTCTGAAGATTAATTAGGAAAATTTCCAATTACGGCAAGATCGAATTTACAGCATAAGATAAAAACCCCCTTATTTACCCATAGGTCACACAGTAGGGGCACCTGTGGTACAGAAAGTAGAAAATAATTGTATTAAGTTATTTTGAGCTGGATTGAAATGTTAATATATTCCCACCCCGTTCCTTCTCTATGGATTGAATTATGATAATCATATCGAGAAAGAGAAAAACAGCTTTTCTAGGGAATTTTAAACTTTTTTGGTGAGGACAAGTAGAAACTTCTATCGAAAGCCTACTTTTAAGGCAGCATACAATTATTTGGAACTGGTTTTAAATGGACAAACGTAAGTTAACTGACCTTTTCACTCACCAGACCTTGCTTTAGCCAGCAGGCCACCAGAATAGGGATGATTCGCCTCACCACTCGCCATTTCTCCTTTGGTTCAAACCAAGCGGACCGAAGCTATTTTGAGAGGTGGTCTGCTAGTGAAAAATGAGTTCAGGGTAGTAACTGTAGGAATGACTCCAGCTGCAAGTTTTACATTGACATTAAACTTCAGATTCAGGGGTAATGGTCTGTCAAATGTTTATATTATGGCTCCCTTCCAAAAGAATTTAAGCTGGCCTCAACGAATGGACCAGGTGTACCATAGAGGAGCAAGAAGGGGCTTTGGACACCAAATTTTGAGGCAACCGATGCTGGGACTTAAAGCTGAGACGAATAGTGTGCTCAAATGTCACAGGATATTGGTCCTCTCCTCCTAGGTTGGGGAAAGTTACACTAAGTGCTCACCTTCAGTCAGCTCTAGGACTCCTTATTGGGATTTATTTTCCTCAAAATGTTAAGAAGAGTACAATATGTGATTATTAACTATAAGCTCTATGCTGTACAGTAGATCTCTAGGATGTACTCATATAACTGAAACTTTGTACTCTTTGGCTAATTTGCTAGGAGGGTAGATTTTAGCTTAAGTGCTTTTGCCACAAAATAATATTGATGACAATTATTATAAGAGGATGGGAGGAATTTTTTGGAGGTGATGGATAAGTTTATGGCCTAGATGGTGGTAGTGGTTTCATGGAGGTGTACTTACTTCCAAACCCATCAAGTTGTATACATGAAATCTGCACAGCTTTTTGGATGTCAGTCATGCCCCAATAAAGTGGTTTAAAAATGTTTTCAAAGAAGAGATTATCTCCAAGTGAGATTGTCAGTCTTGACACCCAGATCTCCAAAAATGATTGTCAGGTACATAGAATAGAAAGTTGAAAAGATAAATTGAAATCAGGTATCAGAGTAGTATAATGATAGCCTATATAAGTATCTATCAGTTTCCTTTTTTTTTTTAAGATTTTATTTATTTATTTGAGAGAAAGAATGAGAGAGAGAGCACATGAGAGGGGGGAGGGTCAGAGGTTGAAGCAGACTCCCTGCCGAGCAGGGAGCCCGATGCGGGACTCGATCCTGGGACTCCAGGATCATGACCTGAGCCGAAGGCAGTCGCCCAACCAACTGAGCCACCCAGGCACCCTATCAGTTTTCTAGTGTACATCTGGCCTTTACTGAGAGCTAATGGAGATGAAGCTGGGAAGTATAACATATGTCTTTTTGTACTGAAAAGTAAAACCTGGAAGATATGGGGGTCCTAGAGATTTGAGATTAAAGGAGCCAATCTGTTCTTGTCTTAAAAAAAAATAGAGTAAGACTCTGGAGGAAATGACACCATTTTTAAAAATCCAGGTTTCTTGCCGGCAGAGAGACTTTTCCCACCACACTGCACATTCTGAGAGAGATACCATGCCCCAAGAGGCAAGTTCCAGGCAGTTTTTTTCAATTCTAGAAAGATGTAATCAATTAGCTTCTCCTATAGCTTGGGTTGTAAATAACATGGCATCTGCTGACTGTGACCAGGGGGGGTTTAGATAGGCCTAGTTTTTCCTGATCTGAGAAAATATACAATATTCACTTCTTCTCTCCCTTGGCCATTCTTTACACCAATTTCCTTCACAAGTACAACAGCCAGGCCGAGATTTATTTTCCTGCTGCTTGAGGCTGAGTTAGTACCTTACTTTATCACTTAGATCACATGCCTTCAATGACCATGGAGTCATGGCCAGTGGACCACGTCAATGACAGCACTGCAGAAACCATAAAACAGAGCAGAGACCCCCCCAGCCCACGCTCAGAGCATCTCAGGTCCCATCAGCACGGAGCACCAGCCTCAGACTTCTCCTTCTCAGACACTGCGCCAGAGCCTGAGTGAAGGGCACTGGCCCCGAGATTCCTATTGAAATGACAGGTGGTTGGGGCTGTTAATTTCTAGAGTAATCCAAAAGAGGAAAAGTTCACCCATCTGGTCTAGAAGAGAGCTAAACCTCAATGACTAAGTCAGGAACTAATTATCAACCATTCTGGAGCTAGGAGAAGCCCTGTTTGTCCGCGTCCCCAAGGTCACCCACCCACCCCACGTTCTATGATTTGTTAGGACTCACGTGACTCAGCATATGGCTGCACTCACAGCTAAAATTTATAACAGTGAAAGAAAACAGCAAAATTAGCAGAGGGAATAGGTGCGTGGAGTAAGGTCTGGAGGATGCTAGGGGCAAGCTTCCAAGGGTCCTCTCCCAGTGGAGTCACACAGGATGGTGCTTAACTCTCCCACAGCCAGTGGTGACAACACAAGTGAAGTGTTGTCTACCCGGGAAGCTCATTAGAGACTAGGCACCAGGGTTCTTACCAGGGGCTGGTCATGTGAGCACCCTCTGATCAGCATGAACCAAAACTCCAGACTTCCCGAAGGAAAGCCAGCGTTCTGCATAAACCTTAGTGTTTGCACGGTCTGGGCACAGCAAACCACCATTATCATTAGGGGAAGTCTGATGTTAGGGCGGGAAGCTGTTTCCAGGTTGAAGCCAAGGCCAACCTTGAAAGCGGGCCTTTCTACGGACACCGGTCTCATGCCCGCTATGTAAACATATTTTTTAAAAAAGATTTTATCTGTCAGAGAGAAGAGAGCGAGCATGAGCAGGGGGAGGAGGGCAGAGGCAGAGGGAGAAGCAGGCTTCCCACTGAGCAGGGAGCCTGATGCAGGACTGGATCCCTGGACCGTGGGATCATGACCTGAGTCGAGGCAAGGCAGACGCTTAACTGAGCCATCCAGGTGTCCCAAATATTTTAGCTGACTAATTTTGTAGTAACCAAAGCCCATTTGAATGAATGTGCAGTTCTACTTTATGAAGTTGACCCACGGTCCTGTTTCTGAAGACTTCTTTGTGGAGGGGAGGAGTTGTGATCTAGTAGAAAGGAATGCTATCCTTTTGGGTCTCCAGGGCTCCAGATGGGCCAGAGTTCTCTTTTCTGGTTTTTGTTTTTTTACTCCATGCTGAGCGTGGAGCCGGGCACTGTGGGGCTGGACCTTACAACCCTGAGATCATGACCTGAGCAGAAATCAAGAACGCTTAATCAACTGAGCCACCCAGGTGCTCCTATGTTTTGTTTTTAAATGGATAAAATCAAAAGTGGTTTCCTTTCAGGGCAAACTAGAGTAGGAGAAAACACCCTGAATCATCTTTGCTTTAAGAGAGAAGTTTCAAAATTTTGCTCCTAATATTTACCTGTTATTTAATAAGTGAAAGAAATAAAAAAAGATTAATATAGCTTTAACAATATCTCAATTTAAAAAAATATTGAAGTAAAAAAGTAATTGAAAAGATTAAAGCTAAAAAATAGTGACCCCAATAAAAATAAAGAGAACAGTGAGGCTTTTAAAAAGGTACACTTAAAACCATAAAAAATAGAAATTAAAATGATAGAATATTGATATAAATTGCTAAACTGCTTAAAATGAGGTAAACAGAAATCTAAAAATGAGACAGTGAAAAAATAAAGCATTCAGGAGCTGAAAATTTAAAAGGATGAGCTAGAATAATCTAAAATAAGTTGAGAGTAAATCAAAAAAGGCCTGGATTTTCAAAAATTAAAAAAAAAAACGCAAAATAAAGAAGTTTAAAACACTTTAAACGAAGCAACAGGGCTGCTTGTGCAGAGAATGTTACAG